TAAAAACATGGTAATGCACGGACCTTTTTTTCTGTTATCTAGTGACAGTCAAATTATTTTTTATAATTTGTCTAATAACCTCTCACAGTCTCATATAACAACTTTTGGTCTTCGAAGGAATTATCAGTGAGCAGCGCCCTGTATCTGTTATCACTCGTTACTTCAATCAGTACAGATCACCAAATATTTCTACGCCAACCTTATTTTTAGTCTCTCTCTCCCTTTCCCTTTTTCCCCCTTTTGCATGGCGATTTGTGTTGACTTTTTGGTGTAGAATCGAAAAAAAAGGGCTAGAAAATACATTTTTGGGTGAATATTCATGATTTTGAGGCGGAAGGATACCAGAGTTGTAAGGTTGGTTACGTTGAAATGTAGGGCCGGAAATTGCATGTTTATTTGTCTCTACTTCCAGCTTGTGTATCTCAAGTTTTTCATGGTGAACCTCATACATGCTTTTTGGGCAAGAGTTTGCCACATGTTGCTCCTTCTGTGGCAGAAAGCGTTCTACCCAACGAAAATTTGTGAAAAAGTTAGAGCCGGTCTAAGAGAAGAGAATTAACATTAAAGTCAATGGAGAAATAATTAGTGATCTGTGGCCATATAAAAGGATAACTCTTGTTTTCCATTTTTTGCGTCACTTCCGTTTCTTCATTACGCATCTATCGTAGCAATGATCTCTGTGTTAAAATTATATTTGGAACGTGTTGAACCAGTTCTATCACATATGTGGTAATCGCTATCACCAATATCGTCCTTTAATGCCCAATGGTTAGCAAACAGCGTCATTCAATTTACATAACTTCACTGCACTGAGAGAATCGCTGATATCCCAAAAGTCCATTTTCTGAGTAAACAACATTTAATGCTCAACAATGTCAAATTGATCAGCCTCTCCTGTATCATATAGTGGAACGCAGAGCTGATTTAATTCGTTTCAAATGACTGAAGGACTGGGATTGTTTACGACAACCACACAATTCACAAACATATAACTTGGGAATGATACGTGTTGATGAGTTTTGTAAAATTTATTTTTTACTCAGACGTTTATAGAATTTATATATTTGTTAAAGTTAAATTATGCAAGAATTAGATAAAGAGCTGAACGTTCTTGCTATAATTGAAAAATAGATAACGCAAAATTAATATATTATTGAAAATTTCATTCAAATCAACTGAGCCAAGTTAGCACTGTTTGTAGTTTTGACAAGATATGTGCATTGATTGTTTATTATCGTACTGGTATATTCGAGATTTAGACTTTTTCCCATTTTTAAATTCAATCGTTAATTAGTCGAATCGTTCTAATCTACTAAAAATAGGAGAGTTGATTATTGTCTTGTCATGTTAATAGATGTCTAATTAACAATTTATATAACATTTAAGGCCTAAAGACAGACCTTACAATAGGTAGATTTAGCTCTTGAATAAGATATCTTTAAAATATTTGTTTGCATTGTAACCAAGGGGTCCTGTCGCGTCCATACAGTTCATATAGTAGTTTTCTTTGTCACTATGATTACATGTTTCTTTCTGAGAGTCAATCCTGAGGTTCTATCCCGATGTTGGCTGAGGATTTTGCTCAGGATTTTCCGGTGTGGCTTTCCCTTTTCCGTGGTGCAGTACGGAACGTATTGCAAGGAACATCGCCTGTCGTTCGAATAGAGGCGGCAATTCCATTGTTCCCCTTTTTGAATACTCAAACTGAAACGTTTCCCATTAATTTTCTTTGACAAGTCGCAAGTTTAATTCGGTAAGCTGTCAACCAGCCCCCTGATAGGATTTGATAGCTATTGTGAAGTCACAAATTAACATATTTTAAAAACGATTTTATTTTATGAGACGGCATACAGGTTTCGTCAAGTGATTTGTAATACTGAAACCGGAGAAGACCCACTCTTACGACAGGAGAAGTATCGCGTAATTTCGTCGATTTACACAGCCTGACCACACCGCCCCAGGCCCAGCCATAATTGACGAGGTTTCTTTTGGTCTGTGTTGTTAGTAAATGGGGATGTCTTCGAGCAGTTGTACTTCAAATCTTTAAACTAGCTGTTTGTCTGGAAGAATGACCGGGATATACACGATTCCTAATTCTACTCATGTGTTATCCATAGATATCAAGGCTGCTAATACAACCATGGCACGCATTGATGATGGCAGGAATGTTGTCCTTGAAGCAAAGCATTAAAGAACTCGTTAGAAATTAGTTTGTAGCTGTAACGTATGGCCATGCACTAAATGACCGTGATTCGTCAATCAGTTCATTAATGGGGTTTAACATCCTACTGTTCTGAGCTTACTGGGCTAATGAAGACGGACATACGCCATGCAGTGTGCTATGAGGTCCTCGTTTTTTTGTCCCATTCGAACGACTATACGTTGGCCCTTTCTAGGTCCTTCGTCCTAAACGACTGACAAGGGGACAACATGTTGGAAAATCCCGATGAGCTTTCTCGGCCAACGCAGGGATCGAACACGGGACATTCAGGTTAGAGCCACCTACTAACTGAGCCACCGCGGCTCCCTATTTATAACTTTACAAATGTAACTCTACAATACAGCTTAAAAATATAATTACCAGCCACTATTTTAACATTATATTGTCAATAATGTATATTTAGAAATTCATATTGGGGGGGGGGGGACTGCCAGCGAAACGAGACAAAATATGGTTCTGGACGTGCAACAAGGACGTGAGGTTTCTACTTGTTTGTTTTTTTAAATATGAAGGCTCTTGTAAAAAAAAAGATAGAGTATATTGTGGGTAGGACTTAAACCGGTCCCTCGCCGCACACATAAAAGTACACATATTATACATACTCCCTAACCCCCACTCCACACCCAAAACCACCCCTTGTCTCGCGGATTTCACCTAATCACTTAATTCTGTCATTTGTTTGGAATGCCTTTAAAGAGATGACAGCATTAAGTCAAACAAAAGTTGTCCTTTTGGAAATATATAAAGAATATCGTCTATGTTAGCACAGAATAGCAGTTATTGGCAATATTTGATGTGGAAATAAGACAAGAGTAAGTCTAATATATTATTATATAATATATATAATATATCAACCACGTAATACTTATAATGAACAGAATAACAGAAATCTCTATTTTTACCAAATCTGATTAAGGTAAACCAAGTTATTACAATAACCAGTATGTCGTGTTGTCATGGTAACCCATTTTCCCATTGGCCATCTTCTTCGCAAATAGCGCTAATTACCTTTCCATGGCAACCAACTAAAACGTCTTAGATTTTTCTATTATAAGATTTCTTATTAGAAACATGATTCCTAATTCTTATATATTGTATTCCTACGTAATAAGTAAGTGTATCTAAGCATTATTTTATGAAAAATATCAAATAATTAGAAAATTTTATTAAAAAAACCCGGAATCTCAACAAACAAATAAGCTAGAATTAATAAACACAGATTTACTATCTAAGCTAAATATGCACGATGTCCATTAATTTAAATTGGAAAAAAAAACCATATTTATAAATTAAACTGAGCCTTGGACTGCATCGTAGAATCCCGGTAATAATGTGTAGTTTGCCAAGTGATCCATGCAATTTAATTCCAGACATCAGAATTACAAACAATAATGATCACTATAGCATGTAATGATCGTGGATGTGGAAAAGTGTTGCCTGGGTAGCCTATAAATAAAATTTGAAATGAAATAAAACGAGGTATAACGTCCCACGTCTCTTCACCGACAGGGGTTACACTATACAGTGTGTTATGCGAGAAATTTGCCCGGACAGCGGCGCTATGGTCTACTTGTAATTCGGATTCCAACTGTCAAGGTCCTTTACAGCACGCCAATGCGTACACGGTGTCTCATTTATTGTCCCATACGAATGAATAGACACTCCTTGCCAGACGGGGGGGGGGGGGGGTAGGTGTGTGTGTGTGTGTGTGTGGGGGGGGGGGGGATGGCCGAATGGTTAGCACGTGTGTACATGACAAGGGGTAGGGTCGCCTGTCCAACCTTCGTGGGTTTTCACCGAGTCCACCGGTTTAAATAAAGTTGTATCATGTGTTAGTCCCGAAATGACCTACATGTAGTTTGTGTCGAGTGGACGTTAAGCCCCATTTCCACTCCCTCCCTTGCCAGACCCTCACTGACATTGGGAAACGCGCCGGAAAATCCCGACGAACTGATCCTATTAATCCTATAATTCACTATTGCCGGTTGAGAAATTGGCAAACGTTTGAAGATAACTATCCCATGGTGGGGAATAGAAATACAAGGGAGGTAATTGGGAGGTAATTGTGTTATTATTTCCGGTGTGAAGATTTTTAAGTGTGAGAAAGATAACCTATGATCGTATAATAGTGAGTTGACAACCTATTGAGCAAAAGACATAGAAATAATTATGTTTTGACTTTCTTAGAAAATATGAAATTGTAACTTGCTTCAACTGGGCAAATAAAATATAGAGTGATAATAAGAAACAACTCGAGAATACAAAGACCACTACGATCATATCCAGGATGCCACCCCTTCCCAATTATTCTATTCCCTATCCCTCAAAATTAAATTCTGATTCTATAGACCAGTGCAGTGTTCAACTACTGTTCATTATTGGCCTTTCACAGAAACTAAAAGCCAGAATAAGCAACTCAACTGAATGGGATGTATTTGAAGGGACATAACCCCATTTTAAAGAAAAACAAACTATTATACTTCATATTATTTCCCGACTATAGTGTTTCCCAAAATGCCGGTGGGTTGAACAATTTCTATGGCAGATTTAGCAAAATGTGGTTGAACATGGAATTTTTGATGTATTCAAATTGCTATCAGCTTGCATGTAATATATGACTACAATAATATATGGAGAATAAATGACGTTGAACCGTTTTAATAAAATATTTTTCTCAGATCAACTTTAGTCTCATCAGGACAAGGAGATCTCCTCAAAATTTGCTTGATACCACTTCTTGTGAATTCACTTTGGGCCTTTCCACATTTACAAGACAATCTTTATTTTAAATTTGTTTATTTATAACTACAACATGTAAACAAATTCTATGTTCAAAGACATCACGTGAGAACTTTCATTGGTTCAATCTTCAACTGCTCTGCTAGTTCATTCTGAAAATAGTTTTAATATAATAGTTTTAATAACGTCTTTTAGTATAGCCTTTAGTAATTGTACAGTAGCATATTGAAAACTATTACTGGTTTATTATCATGCAACTTTAGACGATGGTACCCGCGCCTTATCAAGCAAATGATAACATCTAGGTCAAAGAAGCCATGACCTATAATACCTTCCTTCAGTTTTACCTATATCGTTAACTGTTGACTGCCCCATTTATATATATATATATATATATATATATATATATATATATATATATATATATATATATATATGCATGTACATATAAATGCCACTCAAAGACTATATTATTTGACATCAATATTGAGAGATGGGCGTTAACCTTATTAAAGATACATTATGGGAGATTAGATAAAAAGCTGACAGTTCTTACTATAATAGTTAAAACCTAGATAATGTAAAGGGAATTTGCTGAAAATTTTAAGTCAAATTGATCCATTCTGAACCGAGAATTTAGCGGTTGAATTTTGGGCCTAGCCTCGATCATCATTACTGAAGTCGGTACAATAAAACACATAGTCTCGATAACCCATTTTTTGATTTAATAATGAATGAGTGCAGAGCAGCAGAGCAGCAGATCGTGTCCTAATCCAATAAATATCACAGCCTAACGATGACATTCAGAGTCGATTATGGTCTGGATAAGTTAATTAATGTTTAACTAATAATTTAGATGACATTTCAGGCCTAAAGAAAGACCTGCAATAGGCAGATTTAGCTCTTGCATAATGTATGTTTAATCAGATAAGTAAATGTGACGATATGTATATATTCTTAACCATAGAGTTAAAAGTTACCTTTGTTTGCTTACAGCTCTTTGTGTATAATATTCATATCTTTTTTTATTATCTAATTTCATTCTATTTCGTTGTTTTTTATAATATGCTTGATAACGACATATTAAACGCACAGTGTAATAAACTAGAATAACTGGTATGCATAAATAGTGTTTTAATGATTGTTTTCCACCGGCTGTGACTATTAGCTCTTAAACGTCAATATAGTTAACAGTGTAGGTAAAACTGAAGGTAATTATTATAGGAGTATACTTACAGCATATTTTATTTGGTTAGGATGGTAGGGAATTCCCCCGAGCTTATCACACTCTTTCATATGGTTTCTTTCAGGGTCACCAGGTACAAGCACTTCCGATTGTCCAGCAGCCTTGAAGAAACAAATATCAATAATTACTAATCTATTCCCTAGTACATCGATTATAGACATTCTTGATAATCCAGCCTTTCGGTGAGCTTCTGGATATACTACTCATCGAGAAAATTTGATGTCTTTCTGACAGGTTGATCCGATTTCGTCTATTGTTGCGAATAACTAGTCTACATGCTTGAAACCGTAATAGAGATGATCAAACAAGGGTTAAAAGCTGCAACGGAATGAACCTGACCCGATTTACTGTACTGAAAATGAACACGAACATACGTCATGCAGTATGTTACGAAGGAATTTGTGTCGATTTCCAATTGTAACATTCTGTCAATAGTAAACACAGGGACTCATTGGATATATCAAGACATATTGTCGACAGGTTCTGGTAATGCAGCAACCTAGATGTGTTAAAAAGGTTAAAAGGTACATAATACCCACCGGTTCTAAGTTTCTACAATGATCTAAAAGTTCGCTCATTCTATCAGCGAAACCGGGAGCAAAAGCAGTTGGATCTATAGCCACAAAACACTGGCCCTAAAACATAAATATTAAATTACAGCTAATGGTTCAATTAAGAAATGCTAGTAATATATAAGTTTTGAAGCTGATTGGAGTTTACATAGATAAAAAAACCCGCTGCATTTGAATTTATATTTAAAAACACCCATAACCAACAAGTAATATCATCTGGTACACCGCTGCCGCACTAAGCAACTACAAAACCAGTACGTTATGGAATTTCACTCGACCGTTACATGATCACTGACAGGAATGACATCTGTGACAAAATTAATCGGGTTGAAAAATTAGAATTAAAAAAATCACGTGATATAGATTGGATAACTTACAAGATTAGCTTTTTTGTCGTGGGTTTTCCAAGATCTGACGTTAGGACCAAAATTTGAACCAGCTAAAATACCACAAAATACTTCTACCATCATTCCAAGTCCATACCCTTTATAACCAGCTGAGGAGAAAACATAATAACCTATATTGAAGATTAAACCTTTAAAGCGGAAATTGCAAATTTTTAAGTTATATTTTTAAAATTTATTAAAATAAAGCCTGAAAATAGATGGTATCCATAAACAGTCCTACCTTGTTAAAGAATAATCCTATTAATCCTATCATTCACTATTACCAGCTGAGAAATTGGCAAAAATATCATTTTCCTCTTCATTTTCAAACGTTTGAAAAAAGCTACTCCATGGTGGAGAATAGAAAACAAGGGAGGTAATTGGGAGGTAATTGTGTTATTATTTCCTGTGTAAATGAGTTTTAAGTGTGAGAATGACACCTATGATCGTATAATTGTGAGTTGACAACCTATTGAGCAAAAGACATAGAAATAATTACGTTTTGACTTTCTTAGAAAATTTGCAATTTCCGCTTTAAGATATACCCCTAGTTGTCTTTCCTATAATCACCCACAATCTGAATGAATGAATGAATGATACGGGGGTTAACGTCCTACATTTCTGCACCATCCGGGCTAATAAGGACGGCAATACGCCAGACAGAGCGCAAAGAGGGAAATTTTGCCCGGAGCAGCAATTGAATTCCAGCCGTCAAGGGTTCTTTTACGTGCACGTCTATGTGTACACGGGGCCTCGGGAATTCGTCCCATCCAAACGACTAGACACTGTTTCTTGCCAGCTCCCACCCTCCTTTCAAAATCTGACCGTACCAAAGTCGTATTAAAATTCTACAGTTAGCACATTTACAGTATATTGATAGAGGCGTTCACAAACAGCAACACATGTTTGTAGTACTTTATAGTACTATTAAATATTACTTAGAATAAAAGAAATAATTTATGCAAGTTATATCACAAAACAAATTCACATAAAAATATACTAACCAGTATTTTCATCACCACCTAACGGCATTAATCCTCCACTTTCGACAACTCTTCCAGGATTTGTACAAGGCTGTGATCAAGAAATTAACACAAAATCAAAGCAACTGAGCTTCTCTGTTTAAAGGTGGTAGCCCACGCATTTGTATATTCCAACAATAGCTAGGTAGCGTTGACAACTACAAGAATATTTCTAGACGCCTACTAGACGCTAAACTAAATTAAAGATTGCGATCATGACGCCACTACTCGGAGAATCGGAACTAGCAATCGGAACGTAGAAACTCCCCAACTAAAAGTTAATTTCGACAGGGAAAATAGAAAGATATTTGTCCAATGAACTGAAAACACTGACAGAACGCTGCCTAAGAGTTGATCCGGATAGCTGTCACCAATATCTATAAACAGATGGACCTCTTCTTTAACATAATTATATTTAAAGTGTTGTTATCACCTTACTTTTATATCTGATCGCGTTGACTGTAGCACGTGTTCTTCTTCATGAAAGAGTGGGGGGTCGTCTAACTAGTGCGCTTTAGATTGCGAGGTCTGGAATTGAGTTAAGTGGTGTACGTCACAAAGAGTAAGATCGCCTGCTTGACCATATGGGGTTTCTCCGGATCCTCCTTCCCGACACCAAAGCTAAAGACTCCTATTATTGAAATACCGAGACTTCATTATGCTTCAATGACGAAATTGCTTATGCCATTTTTGACACACGCGACTACAGTTTGTGCCGTACTTTGTTTGCTGGTTTAATTGCTGTCCTTCTTGAATCCGTTACTGACGCGAGCGTGATTGTGGAACACACCAAATTCAGATACCTCATCAAGTGAGCTGCGATACTTGCCATACAATCCTGTAATGATCTGCTAAGACGTGAAAAAAATATCCGTCTGACCCCTGACTTGTATTACTTACCTTCCCGGTTTCATCACACCCCCAACCTACAGGTATATCCTGGCCTTTCCTATCACTAAGTTCTATCTGTAATAGTAAAATCAAAATTAAAGTAGAATAGAATGGGGTTTAATGTCCTAATTTTCTGCATCGACTGGGCTAATTAAGAAGGACATACACCATACAGAGTGTTATGAGGAAATTCTGCTCGGACAGCGGCGATACGACCTATTCCAACTGCAAAGGGCCCTTGTACGTGCATGCCAACCTGTACGCGGAACGTCGGTTTTTCGAATGTACCAGGGAACTTTCTCGTCCAACGCCGGGATCGAACCCTAGACCCCCTGTTTAGTGAGCCAGTGCCTTAGCCACTGAGTCAACGCGGCCCCCCAATTTAAGTGGACTTTAACAAATATGATGTTGAAATCACTAATCATTTTTAATGTTCAAAAAGACACCCTAAATCTAGCGATAGGGATAATTCGGATAAATTAAATCTGATATGGGCATTTTAGGATTCAATTTAACAGACTACATTTTAGAGACTGCAGCTGATTTGCTTTTAAATTGACCAGTGTGAGTTTCCGATAGTTGCATGTAGAATTATAATACCATGGGGAATTTTAATTGGACAGCACAGTTTTTGCCTACTTATCTTCGAATTCAAACTTTCATGGAATCGTTTACTTGTCCATCTGTTTATTTTGTCATTAATTCAGACTCAAAGTAGGAACCGTCCATGAAAAATTCCGACAATTCCCCTGTGCGTTCTAGTTGTGAGTTCAGAGAAATAAAAACTGATCCGAATCAGCTGTTAAGATACATGAACAAACAATGAAAATAATATCTAATCTTGCGGTCACCTTTCCAAGGGCAACAGAAGTTGTCGCCATATCTAAAACCATACTATCACCATTGTTAGCAGGTGCTGCCAAGGTTAAAGGATTCGTTCCTAATGTAGGCTGAAATGTAAAAGATAGGTTGTCAGACAACGAAACATACGCCCACAGCAGCTAAGTCGTCAGGGCAGTCAACAAGGGTTGTCCCATATTTTTTCTTTTGTCAGTAATGAGAACATTTACAACACATGAAAATAACCCATTATGTAATTATCAGAAATCATTAGAATTTGTTTCGATTATTTGTCTCGTGACCTTAAACAATTGATATTAACTTTAGCCTCTAGAGTGTCCACAAGATTTTTTCAAAGTGGCCAAGGGTCATAGCTCTGACAGTAATTATCGGAAATCATTGAAAATCACTAGGATTCTTCAGCTTATGACCTTAAACACTCGGATATTAACTTTAGGCTCTAGAGCGTCCACAAGATTTTTCAAAGTGATCAAGGGTCATAACTCTGGTGGTAATTATTGGGACACGCTGAAAAAGACTAGGTTCCTTCGTCCCATGGCCTTAAACATTGCGTATAAATTTAAAGCCAGTCGGATATTAACTTTGCCCTCCACAGCATCCACAAGATATTTCAAAGTGGCCAAGGGCTGTAACTCTAGCAGTAATTACCGGGAATCGTTTAAATCAATAGCATTCTTCATCGTATGACCTTAAACACTGTGTATAAATTTAAAGTCAATCGGATATAAACTTTAGCCTCTAGAGCGGCCACAAGCTTTTTCAAAGTGATCAAGGTAGATAACTCTGGCTATAATTATCGGAAATCGCTTAAAATCAACAGGATTCCTCGTCTCATGACCCGTGTAAAAATCGGATATTAGGATATTAACCTATACCTCTAGAACGTCCATGGACGGGCGAACGGGAGAGTCGACAATATACGACCATATTTTAATGTGGGCGTATAATAAAAATCAAATTAATATTATTATGACACCGCTGAATAATGTAGAACAGTAGGGTTGGATTGCCCAGATCCGCACTCTTGGTCATCATTGGTTGGGGTGGGGTAGTACAGGTGGGATAACGTTGCTGTCATACATACACAGTTGATAACATAATTTACCTTTCTTGCTCTTGTGGGCACCATTAGCGGTGAAGTGTTTGTAAAGGCCATTCCCTAAAACAAAAATAGCTAGAATTTAAATAAAATTAAATAATACTGTGTTCTCCATCGAAATTCTGTCAATTTGCCCTTCCTTCACCCGGTCCCATCCCTTGCAATTTAACCATTTAAAAAAATGTGGCAACTCCAATTCGCCATCCTCCAGGAGCCTGACTTTAACTCAGTTGTCATTGGAGATACTTCACTCGACATAAATCAGTTGAAATAGATGGAAAGATACTGCATTTCCATGTTAATATCGAACGGCATCTAACCGTATAAACGTATTCGGCCGACGGTGACTCAGTGAATAAGACACTGACTCGCTAACCAGAAGGTCTCGGGTTTGCTCCCGGTATTGGTCTAGAAAAGTCATCGAGATTTTGAGGCGTGGTTTACCCTCGTTAAATATCATTTTAAATATTGGTTAAATATCCCTTTAGAAGATACATGTATATTTCTCAGTTTTTATGCCATTTGTTGGTAGTTTTCACGAAACTGGCCAGCAGTAAATATTTGCTTCGTGCTAATATCACTGGTAGCGATGACATTGAGGTGACAGAATTAGCTTTCAATATTCTAAAACAATCTTCCCGGATCAGTTGGTATTACTACGTCCGAGGCAAACAACGCATGTGTTACTGACGCCATATAACGTAACGTCACACATAGAACTTTACCTTACGTGACAATAAGGTCAGTCACCCCATACAGGAGCCAAGGAAGGCTTTAGCTTTACTATTGTCAAACAGTTTGAGTTTTCACAGGTGGAAACAAGTCAGATATACAATGGAAGCTAACAACTTACTAGCATACCCTGCTCCATAGCTCTAATACTATACCAACCAGCTATACCAAAATGATTAGAATCTAAATAATAAATAAAACACCAAGCGTGAATATCCAAAACCCAGTGCAACTATTCGTCACGGACTATGAAATAATAACTTTGGATTATTTTTATTTCAATAATTCGCGGAGTTTTCAAGTGTACGATGAGACCCTTATGAGGCTAAGCAGACGAATTAGTCATTGGCACATATTTGGCACCAAGCGTGAATATCCAAAACCCAGTGCAACTATTCGTCACGGACTATGAAATAATAACTTTGGATTATTTTTATTTCAATAATTCGCGGAGTTTTCAAGTGTACGATGAGACCCTTATGAGGCTAAGCAGACGAATTAGTCATTGGCACATATTTTGATTAGTTTGGAAGCCAACTGAAAACAAACGCTCATTATAGTTGCTATCTAATGTTGCAATGGTTAATGGAAATGAAATGAAATGAAATGGGGTTTAGCGTCCTACTGTTCTGCTCCGACTGGGCTAATGAAGACGGAATGGTTAATGGAATGGTAATGGTCGTCAAATGACAATGTTTGTGTGAGTCAATATTACATGTGTTATAGAACTAATTTAAAACCACATTCCAAAAACGATTTTAACATGATCCGTAACAATCATTAAGAATTCAAAAGTGACGCCAATATATGAAAGCAGTTATTGTAACCAATTGAATTAGAGATCATTGTTAATTCTGGTGAGAATGACGTGGGAGGATATCCCTTCGAAACTATTTATAAAACCAAACCTGCTTGGCACGGGACCAGAAAATACGAGAAATCATTTTCATAGACGGGACTTAGGGAACAGAAATCAGATCTCCGACGGAATTTTCGTTTATGATTGATGTCTGAAATACGGCTACTTATTGATGTAACATTCGTTTCAAGGGATTTTGCGTCTTAAAAACGAATGAAATAGCAATGGAATTTCGTCTTTCGTCAGTTATACAAACTTAATCACAGAGTCATTTTGACCAAATCTGGACCGCAAATCCCAACGCTACGAAGAAGTTGCAGCCCAAAACTTCAAAAGGGGAAAAAAAACCCCGAGACAATGTTTATTATCTTACCATTAGCTACAACCCAAGCAATTCCCGTTTCCTTAGCTTTTTGTATAGCTAAATCGATACAAAACTTGCCAACAACCGGTCCTAAAAATATATAATAACGATAAATACCTTTACATACAGAGAATACTTCTTTTAAAAAAACGTGTGAAAGTCTCTTAATTTCTTTATCCGAACCCCCCTCACACGCGAAAATGAGGATGGCAGTTTGGAGTTCAATACACGAATACAGTTATCCGATATGTTTACATGGAGTTACTAGTATCAAACCTATCCGTTTTACGTTATGCTTTTGAGACACATTTTTTTGTCATCTGTAACATCGAAACACAAACGGTCAATTGTCACAACTAGCGATACGTTTCCCAAATAAAGCACAGTCGCTGTCGCTTCCTGTAAATTGACCCCTAAAAATTCAGCTATATATGTAGACGATATCACTTAAACAAAGCTCTTTCACACAATCCAGCTATACCCCGAGCCTAATATATCAATATTTTATAAAACTTTGCTTGGAACTAGCTTTATGCATACGTTTGTCTATTTGTTACATGGTATGTTGTTTTACTGTATTAAAGTAATTTGTTGTAATTGTATGCTGCTCCCCGTGGGCGTTTTTATGCAATAAATTTACTTACTTACTGACTTATTTTTACCTGACAAAAAAAAACTACGATTACACAATTAGACCCCATCCACCTCCCCATCCTATACATAACTCACACCATTACTGGCTCCACAGACAACCGGATATGAAATGGATGGATGGGATTTGCAGCTTACCTAACAGATTGTTGCCATTTACTAACGCTGTAGAGACGGTTTCCTTGGTGATGGTAGGTTCCATATCATGGCGGGTCATGCCAACTTTTATATCTTTAACGTACATATCTGTCATGATATAAATAAATGAATTTAATATTCAATTATAATCCATATCCAATTATAATCCATATTCAATTATAATAAACATCGTCGATTGTGTTGTAGCTTAATTGTGGAAGTACCAGATTTGTCAATTCAAGAAAAAGAAAAGTAAAATCTGTTCTGCATCGTTTCTTCATTGAGGTCGATATTCCTATCCCTATCAAGCCCAAACTAGCGTAACTCGTCGTGTGACAATTAAATCTAAAGCCCTTAGGTGGTGCAAAAATAAGTTTAAGTGTATGCTACATTATTGGTCTTCCGTACTTTTCAATTCATTTGAACTTTCAGCTTAACATTCATTTACATACCCAATCTGTTTAAGCCATGACTGTAATGGCCCCTATAATCAGCCGAAACCAATAAATCAGCCAAACTCACTGCATGTTCATGCTTCGTATGCACGGCTTCCATACATCTTACGACGAAATTATGGAATTCTTTGTTTGGCACAACACTCTCTTTGATTTCTGCCATTCTGTATACAGTCAGCGAATACTATTATCAGTCAGCGGGTCAGTAAACTGATACTGATATAGTGTCCTACTTAGGAGTTTGGTACGGGGCGGCATACAGGACACCTGAATTTATCGTTTACACATGTGCCGCTTATTTTAAGCACAAAAGTAGCCCATTCGACCCTAAATATAAGCATGTTAATGTTTTAATGAACATGTATGGACACATAATCATATATAATGACTTTCATTTAGCGCGACACAAATATTCTTGATGGTCCAGCCACTAGGTGGCTTCAAAGAAGGCTGTTTTTTTTTTATTAAACTGCAACCTCACATATTAAAGCTGTGCTCACATGTACTTACACGCGCCCTTTTCTAAGTACGGATATTGATTTTGTTTACAGTGCCATAATATATGCAGTTCATTAAATGGTAAAACCGTGCTCTGCTAATGTGTTGTCTAAGAGTTTCTCTCGAATTATCCAAACAGCCCAATGTAATCAATATAATTTTATAGCGTCACATGGTGCGGAATTTTAATCGTGTTCAAGTTCACAGTGAATTATAGCGCCTGGTTACATCAAAATTCAACGCTTTAACAAAAGCCCCCTGTCCACGTCGTAGTTTGCATCTTTATAATCAAGTCTATAGGTATAAGTTGTGACTATACCAGGTTAAAATTTGATTTATTATCTTACAGGGAAATCAGTGACCCTTTGTACAGTAACGGCTGCATATATCGGTCGTCATACAGTATTTGTGTATTCAAATATATATTGTTTCTTGCCAGAAATCCACATAACTTAATACAAATACAGATAACTAGCTAGAAACAGCTGAATGTTGAATCCAAAAATCACGATTATAAACGTTTTAACACTCAAGATCTTTATTTTATGGTCGACCGCATGACCGCGCCCCTGTCTGTTATACGATTTAAAATTTTATTGGTTCAACCGTATGTTTTAGGTTTTATTTTATTCATTGTGATAAATTTGATAGGAATTCTGTCATTGAATCCTTGTTTTGTACATTTAAACCTTTGTTTTGTCCACTGAATCTTTGTTTTTCTCATTGAATATTTTTCCCCGGAGATTACCTACCCTGTTAAAGATGCCTTCCAACATACAAACTGTGCGATTTGCTAATATACTTTGGAGATACCTCATATTTTTGTCTTCTGCACACCCCATCGGAGAGAGAGAGAGAGAGAGAGAGAGAGGGGTAACTAACACATGGTTCAATTTTATTTCAATAATTCGCTTACGCGTGGGGGTCGTTAGCAGTGGGAGGAAACTGGAAACTGGATGACTCGGAGAAAACCCACGAGGTTGGACAGGCGACCCTACTCCTTGTCACGTACAACCGGGGAATCGAAACCCTGCCAGTTGACTCAATGCCAGACCGTATGGTACAGCGCGCACGTGCTAACCATTCGGCCATTCACTCCCCCCCGCCCCCATCGGAGTCCAGTATCTTTCTAGAAAGATTGTGGGTCTCTACTTTCCATATATACACCAAATATATCACACTTTTATTGGGAATAATTAACCTATAAATACTGACGTGGGAATGTATCTTTAAGCAATCTAATTATCACTATAAATAATGTTAGTCGAATAAATATTGCCAGGAAACAAAGTGCCAACCAAACTATGTGTCACCGTGCAATACACATAATTTGAATAATAACGCAACTCATATGGGCCATAATCATTTAATACAGTCCTCACAGTTCTTCCATACCACGTTATTTTCTTGTTATCGAATGTGACGGGGCTACTTTTTCTACGCCACTATCCTCTCATCATTCAAAACGATGAAGAATTGTCTAACAGCAAGCCGTTCCCTTGTATTCAGGGTAAATGTTATCATTAGTATACAGTTTGTACACTGATTGGCTAAGCCGTTGGTTAAGCCGAATACTGTTATCACTCATCGGTATAGTTGGGGTGGCAAAGAAGACGAAATGCGGGCTCGATAGTTGTTATGGAATACCGTAAAGGTCACCTTCTAGAAAATATAAATATCTTTAATATTTTCATATAGGTATCACTGGGAACATGATGTAAAGTCAAGCATTTCTAATGTTCATATTATGATGTCAGTTGTCACTCTCTGATTTAAACATGCTTTATTCAGTAGGAAGGGGGAGAATATTTACATACTCTTTGCTTGTTCCCCATTCCCTTTTCAGTAATTTAGTAAGAATGCTTTCTCAGCAACTGCCTAAACTAATAGATACGACAAACAACTTAAAAAAAAAATCTAAACTAAAAAGATGAAAATAAGATGGGGATAGCAGAAAGATCCGTGAATAAATTTGTTTTTTCGATTCAGGAGGTAAATCAACTTAAATTCCACGATAGATCCCGGTAAATCCGGCGTTTTCGAATGTATACCCACACCCGGTTGACTCGGTTCACTTGTTAACGCAGTAATTAGGTGGCGGGGGATGGGGGTAGATCTAAATATTAAGGCCGACTGCATATTTGGTCAAACCCTAGCCCTAGCCCACAATTTTGTCAACAATCACATACCCTAACCTTATTATATCTCGCGACTCTGACGAAATCTGAAGTTGGACTTAATATTTTGTACATGAAGATTTAGGTCTGGATAATCGTTGCAGGCCATAAGGATGACGAAGACCGTAGTATGCACTTGTTTATCAAAGCCATTTTCTACAGATTCATTATTTTTTATAAACTGGTATTCAAGTAGATTTACGCATGCAAGAAATAAAATATGTCGCCTTCTGTATAGAGTGCGGTTTCATTTAATTTCCGCGTGATCTTTGACCCCAGATCGAAACAGATAAACTGTATTAGCCGAGGGCACAGTCCATTGCTGGATAGCGAGACTTGAGTTGGAGAGGTCATTAGTGAGTATCAAATAATCGAAGATCAGCGTTGTAATTGATTTATTTAATTTAGTTCATTGATCTTATATCCATTTAAAGCAGTTTTAAATATGGCTTAACGGACTAGTAAGTATTTCCCTTCAATGAGTCTTTGTATTTACATTTTTGTCAGATCTTAATGTATACCCATGTAGGATCAGAAATGAGAGAAAACGGCGCTGGAGCCCACAGATTCCATCCATTGACCAGGTGTAGAAAAACACCCGGTCAGCGTCTTTCAGTATTGTATGTATCAGATGCCGTCATAAGGATTAAATTGAACGGAAAATTTTAGTCTTTTTAGTCTTAGCGCTGACTTCTCAAAGGGAGTTGTATTCCCATAATGAGCACTGTCACGTGGAAAATTTCTTTCAAAGGTGACTAAGTATTGTGTTTACAGGCTATTACATTCATGTTCCTAAGCGAGATTATCAACTGATTGGTCTAATCCAAGGGCGTATATCTCGTCTGAAACCGATGGGCAACGTCAAGCCGACTAAAAGCCTTTTTCAATAGAAGGCTTAATCTCGCTTTACCTCCTTACATCTTATCAAGACCTTCACGTAATACCCTACATTTTTCGGCACTAATTTCGATTGGTTGCAAAGTTCAAGGTTCGTTCAATGTCAAGGTTGCTTGAACTTTCTGACCTACTTCACATCTTAGTCCAAACCTTTCTAATTTACTTTTTGTTCTCCCATAATGCCAGTAAGGTCTCTTATATTTGGTTTTCCATAAGTTTTTCAGCTAACAAGCTTTCAACGGCTGTAAACGAATCTATTCCTTTATGTGTTTATATCACGTGTCTGTGATAAAGGAGATAACGTACCTGGCCTAAATTGTCATTATTTAGAAAACCCATCTACTACGCCCGTTAATGATAATCACGTGGCGTGAATCAGGGTCAAAACGGATCTTCTTTTTTATGGAGTGACATGAATCCATTGAAACAAACATTCGGGTTATTTGGGAATTGACCCTCGGTGATTTTGCACAATAACTTTGTGACTTCACCATAAGTTCTCAAGACTTTCTTTACTGGTTAGCAAATTTTTTACCTGGCATCACTGTTGAGAACCTCTCCGTACGGCACAAATTGTAAATGACAAATAATCAAAGAACACGTTTCTGGTACATGGTTCTCCGTATTTATAGTAATTCAGAATCAAGTACCCAATCATTTACACGTCTTCATCTTCTTAACGATATGTCTTTGAACAGCTTTTACAGTCTCGCAAATCCCGTGCCTCCCCCCCCCCACACACACACCCACACACACCCAGACACACCCACACCCACACACACACACATCCGAAAACAATTCCGGGTGCTCTACCAAGACACTTTCGCACAAATAGGGCCCCTTCGTCTCAACCATTTCTGTATATGGTCTGTCATCTTTGACATTGGTTTTATAAGTATTTAGAACATGATACATTAGGCTATGATATAGATAGTATAATTGTATTATTATTTAAGACGAGATATTGATGCGTGGACTACACGATTTAAATTGATATTAGTACCTGAGGTTAGTTAGAACAAACTAAACATCTCCATTATTTATTTAGGGTAGAATATTGTTCACGATGAATAGAAATATGATTGAAAGACAGCTGCATCCTTTGTCTACAAATACCTCAACGGTAGACTTAAGAAGTGATACGGTTACGACACCAACACAGGAAATGTATGATGCCATGATTAGTTCGCCTGTAGGAGATGACGTTTTTAAAGAAGATCCAACAGTTACAAGTGAGTATGTTTTGTTTTTTTATTACCTATTTTCTAAATTTATTTTTAACGTTGTGACAGAGAATAACATGAGATTAGAAAATTAACGAAGTTAGATCTTCACGTAGTGTAGGCCAGCCGAAATATAATGAAGATCTAATTTTATTCGAGACTAACGGTGCTTCTTTCATTTAGAAAGAGATAAAGGTTACGTAATATATATCAGGTCTTTCCAGAGTGTCCATCTCGCTTGAATATTCTAGTAATGAAACCAAAGATGTTGTATATAGAATTGTCTACAGGCATATCCATATATGTAATAAAGAATATCGTTATACACAAAGATAGACCGCACATCTCAACAATCCTTTTTGCGATCGATATTATGCCCTAGTTTTATTGTATTTGTATGTTGTTCAGATATGTCAACAACTTTATGATTTTAGAGTTGCAAGAAAAATGCGCTAAATTATTTGGTAAAGATGCTGCGCTGTTTGTTCCTTCTGGAACGATGGGTAACCTTATTTCAGGTAAGTGCATGTTAGTTAATCTGGTACACACACTTAGTTACCAAAATATGTTTTCAGTAATTATACTTTCAATTCCTTATTGAATGAGCATACGCCATACAGTGTACTATGAGGGAAATTTTGCCCGGCAGTGGCACTATGGCCTACTCTTATATCGAATTCCAACTGCCAAGGGATCTTTTATGTGCACGCCAATGTATACAGGTAACTATAAGCCCTGTCATGGAGTTTAAAATTATTATTCTTTGTGAATAATATAAATAATATGATATTTATTGACGTTTCCTGTTTAATGTTTATTGATTTCCTCATTCCATATTTCCTGTTATATAACAAATATATATTCAGTAAATGATTTAATGCATAATTAATTTTGCATTTTTTTCAGTTATGGCACATTGCCAGTCTAGATTATTAGAAGCTATTGTAGGCAGCCAGTCTCACATTTTATTGTACGAAGTAGGCGGCCTTGCGCATGTATGTATATTTTCTATACACCATAGTTTAATGTGAATCCATGCCCGAAGAGATTTCTTTGTAAAATATTTAAAATATACAGCTAATCTATTTCCGACGAATTTCTATGTTTATTACCATTTTTTCACGAAAACCTTATTTAGCATCTATAGAATGTCTGTCGACACAAACTAGGTCATTTCGGACATATGTTTCATATTTATTTTAATAATTCGCTTGCGCGCAGGGGCAGTGAGAAAACCGGAGTACCTCGAAAACATCAATGCAGAGAATCAAAACCAAACCACTTGATTCAATGACAGACCTTACGATCTGACACGCACGTGATAAACCATTCGTATTGAGAGAGTAATAGATCATCCTGGGACTAGTTTTGTATCAATGATTCGTAATGTCCATCCCCCTGTAGTGTTCACATAAAATAGGCAACGCGAATCTTGAGTCAGTGACATGCTTTTTAATCTAAATCGACCACCTAACAAACGCTTCTAGATTGGCACTTTTATCTCTCCATATATAGATGTTATTAATTAATTGTCATATCGTCTGTGTTCTTACAGTTTGGTGGAGTACAGTTACGTTCCGTCCATAACAAAGCTGACGGAACTTTTGATTTAGATGAAGCATCCGGCATAATTAGAAATAAAGATGATATTCACCAACCTAGCACAGCACTAATTTGTCTCGAAAATACACACAATAAATGTGGTGGTAAAGTTCTTCCAATAAGTTTTTTAGAACAGGTAGGTATAACTATATCAGATATGGGGGAGTTTTTGGTCGAGCGTACGAGATTAGGTGCCACAGAGCAATCAAATAGATTTGACGGGAGTCGAACTTATATAAGCCGGTTACCGAATTAGGTACAAATCTGGCTGAATAGAAAATGAAATGAAATGGGATTTAATGTCCTATTGTTTTGCTCCGAACTGGGCTAATGAAGACGGGCATACGACATACAGTGTGATATGAGGGAAATTTTGCCCGGACAGCGGCACTACGTCCTACTCTTATATCGAAGTTCAACTGTCAAGGGATCTTTTACGTGCACGCCAATGTGTACACGGGACCTCGGTTTTTCGTCTCATCCGAATGACTAGACAGCTGTCCTTGTCAGACCCTTCGTCCTGCATCACTGATAAAGGGGAACCACCTGGCTGAACAGTTCCAATCCCGAACTATTTGTTTAATTGACTCTGTAGGTCGTTAATACAGATATCCCTCCAAAAAGAACAAAATGACACTGTATCATCACAAAAAACATTTCAAGCATATTTGATGATATGAGCATCTTCGTTAGTGTAAAGATCCTAGAATTATACTTGAAACTATTTAATAACATTGCTATTGAAAAAGTTATTAAAACAACACATCACGTGAACGAATGAATGTATAAATGCACGAAATAGACCCCATTAACATGTTTGCATGTTGTTTATGTCCTTGTCATTTTCCTAAGATTATTTTTCTTCTATTTAGCCTGTTTAATGAGCAAAATATAGCTGAATGCAGATAAATGTACCTTTAGCTTTCTGTGGCTTTCAGTTCCTGAGTTAACCCCCTTCCCGTTTGCCGAAATATCAAATTTGATCAAAATATAGCTGAATGCAGATAAATGTACCTTTAGCTTTCTGTGGCTTTCAGTTCCTGAGTTAACCCCCTTCCCGTTTGCCGAAATATCAAATTTGATCAAAATCTACGTTTTCCTTTCGTATGAACTGCTATCTAGACATTGCTTTGTGTGGCTAACTTAGAGAATCCTTATCCCAATCTGTAATATAAATCATAGTAATTTATGTCTTTTCTACCCCGAATCCACAAGAATACCCATATGTATGAGAGTTGGTTGAAAAGTTCTTAGTCTTTCTGAAAGACCCGTAAGAAGTCGATGATTTCCATTTATTTTACATAGTTCCCTTCGAGGTGTACACACTTTCTTTACTGTGGAAAAGTAAGGGGCATCATCCCCTAAAGTGGAGATCATGTCGGCATATATCTGTGTTGATGTTAGTCCTTTCAGTTGCAGGTACTGGATAACTGCCCTATAGCCAGTTGTGTTTATTTCTGGCGAGTTCAATGTTCACAAGATGGTCTGGTACGAAGACAATAATAACACTACAGTTGCAGTACTTATGTCTATGAACCATTCAATAATTGTACTTGTTGGTGGCATAAGTTTGTTTCAACCCAATTGATCTATCCTTTTCTGGTTTACAACTTTTTAGCCACCCCTCGTACATTTGTTGGTGGTATTTATACTGTTTGTTTTATGTGAATCTGGGTGTGTAATTGGATATTAAATATATTTGATTCTTAGTGTAAGTCATATCACTGTTATTGGAACAGGTACAAGAATTTGCCAAAAAACACGATCTTAAATGTCATATGGATGGAGCGAGATTATTGAACGCTGCCATCTACATGGATCGTGACCCGGCAGATATTTTACAGTATGTCGATTCGGTCAGTCTCTGCTTTTCTAAGGTAAGAATAAATATAATTTAAAATCTCAGAGTTCTTCACTCACCACGATGTTGCAATTTGAAATAATAGAATACATGCCAATTCTGATGAACCTATACAAGGTGTTGTTACATTAAATTATGATTCTATAACAGTAAATCTCTTTGATCTTTGGGGTATATTCTGTGTCAGGAATAACTTGCTGTCTGAAAGTCGGGGACGGTTTTGAATATATACAGGGGAATTTGGAGTTATACTTCTGAAAGTTTGTATTTAAAGCTGTAACGGGTTATTCCATAAGAAAATATGATATAAGGTTTTTCTTACTGGAATTCTGAGATATTCTCATTTTACGTACATGTAAATATAGGCGGGTTATAAGCAAGATAAAGTCCTCGACGTCGGTAATGCTTGGAAGAAAGCCTTCAGAAAAAAAAACCCTCGGTTTTTCTTTCTCTCGGGTTATTTTCTTCAGCCTTTCTTTCCCCAGCATAACTCCAGTCGCGTTCTTTATCCTACACATAATTGTCGATTTGAAGGTATTCTAACCGTCGTTGTGTTTATTCGTATAGTTGATAAAATATGAATTAATATTATCAAAAAATAATCTCAGTTTTCTTCACCATTTTTTCGACATTCAAGATGGCATATCTCCGTTAGTCTTTGTGGTATCAAGTTGAAACTTGGTAGGAATAAGAAACACAATGCTGGCTCGAATTTGCTTATTAAATATTTTGGTGACAGCTTCCGGAAATTACCGAGTCCTCCCGATTTTTCCAGAACATGAATAGTTCTCCCCATTTTAAAAATAGACTAAAAATGTCACATGATGCTGTTAGCCCCAGATATTATCTTTCATTTTCAGAGACCTTGTTTGATAATATTTTCAACCGTTTGGCCGCCATATTGGATTTTACAAAAAATCTTCAAATCGATATTCAGCCTCCATTTCGATTTTTGAATTTGGATTTCGTTTACTTCCGGTTTCACTGTGAAATTTTTGCGACTTTTGGCCTACGGTAGTGACCTGGTCGTTCAATGACCCTTGAACTTTGTATATATGATGACCCTGACATCTACTAACAACTAATATCAAAAAGTTCGGTCTTGAAGTATAACTTCCAGTTTTATTAAACAGGTTTTTCCATATTAATAGGTCATTGGATGTTACTACTATAATAGTTCATGATGTAACTTGATTATTGACGTGACAAGGCATGACCTGACGTACCGAGACACGCCAGCACTGCTTTTACGCAGTCTAATTCCAACTACCACAATGTACACATCCAACGAGTAGACATTATTCTTGTCAGGCCCTTTGCTCTGACAAGGCGAAACAATGCCGGAAACACCCGAGGAACTTTATCGACCAACACCGAAAGCGAATCCGAGGCCCCCCTTTGAGCCAGTGTATTACATACTGAGTCACCGCGGCTCTCACACATCTTGTATTCTTGCTTTGTAGGGTCTATCTTGTCCAGTTGGTTCTATAATAGCTGGCACCCATGATTTTATTTCAAGGTAAATTTATTTTAAAATGTTATACTGAGACGCAATGAAAAGGCACCACTGATTTAACTTGAAGTGCTGGTGAGATAAGTGTAGGCTGGACATTTAGCGACACAAGAAAATCAACAAATACCAACTGTAGCCATAAGAACTTTACTTTACAGTGAAACCTAGGCACAGTGAATACAAATCAAAAGTCGCCATCAGGAGATAAGACTCCTGATGGCAGCCCGTGGACCCTTCTCTACTCTTGTTGCTATGGTGTTTCCATTTTACGGAGATTTTATGGTTGGGAAACCAGGGAAAGACGCTGTCCAGTATTGTCCCACAGATTCTGTACTGGTGGGCAAGCAGGGCAGAAGGTTGACCATTCGAACGCCATAATGTTGTTGTTTTGGTTCAAAATGTCCATGGAGATACAAGTAGTATATAGGCGCTCGAGCATTGCCATACTGTCACGCCTGCAGATCTTGATGACGTTTGATCAGACTGAGCATACTCGGTGACGAACTGTCTTTGCATTGATAAACCTATGTGGTACTAGAAATTGATAGCGCGTGATCATGCATATGTTGCCGGATGATGTGGAAACGACGGGCCAGCCTTAGAAAGGCAGTGGGTGGCATTCATGCCTTCAGAGGCGGCTCTAGTACTTATGTCACCTTGAATTAACATAGTGGCGCGTTCTTGAATTCAGGGGTGTCAACCTTGGCAATTTATTGCGTCTTCCACATTAATAATCCTAGATGTTAAAAGCCACATTTTGTACCCAATCCCTGCACCATAAAATTGTGAGTTTATAGACATTCCTATGGTGTCGAATTCATTTTTTGTCATTGAAAGAATTCCTCCGTTTACTCGATTGTGAAAACATAATTGTCACTTATTATCGTCGTGATCTGATGTTGTTACAATTACCTATGTATTTGAAACTTTGCATTTTTATTTCGTCTCAGTATATTGTCATGCGTGGTTACAATATTCTTTATATTTATCCGCCGACACCGACACCTCATGTCTCGTGGCTCCTTACATAAAGTACTTGTCGGACGAAAAGTAGAATATGTGTGGTTTAACGTCCACGCGACACGAACTAGGTCATTTCGCGACTAACATATGTTTCAATTAAATTTCAATAATTCTCTAGCGTCTCTACTCCTTCTCACGTACAACCGGGGAATCGAAACCACGCCAGTTGACTCAATGACAGACCCTATAATACTACGCACACGCGCTAACCATACGGCCATCCAACCCCCTAGGTTTAAAGAATAATGAATTATTTGTACTTGATCACCGAACAGGATATATCTATTAAACTCGGTTTTTCTATGTTTTGTTTTTATATAGTTGTATAAATTGTAATCAATTTCTTTATATAGAGCCCGATGGCTTCGTAAAGCTTTAGGAGGTGGAATGAGACAAATAGGTGTTTTAGCTGGACCCGCCATAGTTGGATTAGACACGATATATCCTAAATTATATCTAGATCACCAAAGAACCAAACAAATAGCAACAGGTTAGTCGATAAATTATATCTGCATCATATGTTTACAAAAAAACTATCTTTAACTTTTTACTAATGTCGCCGATCGTCATATGAAGGAGTTTTAACTAGACTATAAAACTAGTATATGTATAAAAACACTATTTTCGTTTTTACTAAAGTCGCCGATCATCATTTGAAGGAGTTTTAACTAGACTATAAAACTAGTATATGTATAAAAACACTATTTTCATTTTTATACGCCCACATGGAAATGTGGTCGTATATTGCCGTCGCCCCCGTCCGTCCGTCTGTCCATATAGGAGAAAATTGGTACACTTTTCTAAAAGGAATATCAGTCCAAACTCCCGTTCCGTTCTTTTCAGTATTTTCAAATATATGATGTTAACGATATAAACAGATCTTTTGGTGGGCTTTTCTTTTAATCCGGTTTAATCACCTACAGTTCATAGTTAGAAAAAAACTGGCAAAGGAAAACCGACGCTGGAAAATATCGGGGATCTTTCTCGTCTTATACCGGGATCGAACCCCGGACCGTCTTGTTAGTGAGCCAACGCCTTACTCACCGAGTCACCACGGCTGCACCCTCTAAAGAACGTGATAATAATAACTTATTTAATTTTTTTACAGCTATACATGAAAACAGTTGTGAGGTAGTGGAGGTAGATTTAGATGGGATCCATACAAACATTTTGATGGTTCATATGACCAAATCAAATTTTGATGCTGCTATGTTTTGTAATCGTTTAGCCAAAGTATGTTAAACCTTTGTAAATCATCTCTGTTATTATAATCCTAAAATTTAATTTCCAATAGTTGACAAACAGAAACTGAGATTTGGAAACATAATTTGGAAATATCCTCTAAAAGCGACGCTTACCACTTAATTAATAAACATGTATGTGAAGTGGCCTGTCGTCGAAATCGTTCGTTGACCACATGTCATTATTATTTATGTTAACTGTTACTTTAAAGATACTTTCCCGCGTACAAACTGGGTGAATATGGACTAAAACATATTCAAACTAATTTATTTGTCATAATTTTGCTTCAAATCCTTCTCAAACATTGTAATTGCGAAGGAATGCCCTGCTATTAAAATTCGATCAACCCAGGTCATGTTTACGTCACGTGACTTACCTCTCTTGGAAGTCAGAGGAGAATTCATTGCATACATATAAGACGAAGTTGTCTGTAATCGCTGACTATTTATTACAAATATCGAATCCTAATTAAATTCTCGGATTATCCACTGCCCGCGTCTTTTCCGTGATTTTTATCTCAAAAAGTGTTATACGTCTAACTCTTCATAAAGTTTATCAACTTGTACATCAAGCGTTCAATGTTCGCGTGTGACCTTTGACATCACGCGTGCAGAAATTCCTAATCGTCGTTCTGTCGATTAGGTTAACCCTTACATTTTTCGGGGAATCCAGTATTTTTCTATTATAGTGAGAACTGCCAGCTCTTTATCTAATCTCCCATAATGCATCTTTAATGAATAATATGAACATACGCAATAAATATAACAATTATGGAATAGTGGGTGTTATTTAACTATAATGTCCAGATTTGATTAATTTATAATCTTTAAATAGTCTTAAAAAAAAGCGCGTATAAGTATAAATGCTCACACAGTATTTTTCATTTTATAACATGTAGCTTGAAAATAGACGAGTGGTGGTTATGTATACTCAGCCAAATTAAAAACTTGACACTCGGGATTTTTGGGATTAGATTTTTAATATTTGGTTTAAGGCAACTATTTTAGTGTTATGTTGTGCACAGACGACCTTGGCATCAACAGAAAGCAAGAATACGTCTCGCCGAAAGTCCTTGACATTGATAACGTTCGTGATGTCACAGTACCCCCCAAAATGAAATTCACAGACTTGGAGAACAATCGGAATAAAGTGTTTAGTAACGGTTGTGGCCTCCTCTAGCGTCTCGTACTGCCACACAACGTCTTCTCATGGATTTCAGAACATTAGTAAACACTACCCGAGGAAGACGTCGCCACTGCTCAGCAAGAGCATGTTGAAGGTCCTGCAACGTCAGTGGTGGATTCACTTGCTGACAAACACGTCGACCCAGTTTGTCCCAGATGTGTTCAATAGGATTAAGGTCGGGGCTAAGAGATGGCCAATCCAGGACTTGGACGCGACGGCCAATCCAGGACTTGGACCCCGGCATTTCTTAAAAAATTCTGGGTAGCAATTGCTGTATGGGGTCGAGCATTGTCTTGTTGAAACGTTAGTCCAGGCCCATGTCTCTGCATAAACTGAAAAAGAACGGGTTGCAAAATCTCATCCCTGTACTGGACAGCATTTAAGTTCCCTTGGACAACAAGAGGAGAACGTCCATGTGCACAAAAAGAACCCCAAACCATGACGCTGCCGCCACCAAATCGGTCAACTTCTCTGACGCATACTTGAGCGTAACGTTCACCTCGTCTGCGGTACACACGGACCCCGCCATCGGCAAATCTCAAAGTGAATCGAGATTCGTCACTAAAGACAACCGAATTCCACTGTCTTTGAGTAAATCTTATGTGTCTTGTGGCCCACACAAGTCGGTTACGGCGATGAAGAGGTGTCAATATTGGTCCATTATAGGGCCTCCGAGCTCGAAGACCGGCAGCCTGCAAGCGATTTCGAAAAGTTTGTGCAGTTACCCTTCCACCAAACATCTCTCTACTTGTGGAGGTTGCAGTGACAAATCTGTTTCTAAGATGACGTAATCGTATTGCTTGATCTTCCTGGAGTGACGTCACACGTGGCCCTCCCGCCCTTGGGCGGTCGGCAATAGTTCCAGTTTGAAGCACTCTCATTCTAAGATTAATTATTGTCTGGCGTGAACAATTAAAGGCTCTTGCAACAGTGACCACAGACTGACCAGCATAGAGCCTACCTATAGGACGTAGACGTTCTACATTTGGAAGGCGCGGCATTTTCTAACAAAGATGAAAAAAAATTTTTTAATTTGTTTTTCCAGTTCAAGTTACGTGTGCGTGTTCAGTTTAAGCAAACTTGCATCGATTGACCTCACGAGTTTGTGTTTGCACGTGTTTTTCAGGTTTTTCATCTTTATATGCTCAAAAATCACGTGATCCACGTGACTTTACAATTTTATGAAATTAAAGGCTTCTTACTACTTACTATCGTTAGAAACACTTTAAAATTTATTTGATTTACCAGAAAAAAAAAATTGTGGAAATTCATCATTGTCAAGTTTTTAATTTGGCTGAGTATATTTACACTATTTTGTTTGGATGTACGATCATAGTCGAGACATAGTGCAATTCGGAAATATTGTAAGTCTTGTCGGTGTAAGTTTGGTTGTTTACAATTTATTACCCGCAATACTTGAAGATGGACCATATCGTGTTTATATTTGATTACAAGCAACAGGTCGCGCGACGATCGTATATTATAAATGTGTTTATTATTATAAGAAACAGATGAGGAGTTTATATGTTTACCTTTGTTTATATTTATTACACGTATGAAGAAAGTTGTGTGTTAACTTAATTGTTCAAAAATATATAATTACATATGAAGACAGAAAGTTTGTTTTAACATGTTTTTATATTTCCAGGTAACAGACGAAGAAAGACAAATATTAGAAGAAGATATATGCATACTTGGTCTACCGTTTTCTAATAAAACAGCAAGATTGGTACTTCATCATAACATTGATCAAAATAAAGTTGATAAAACAATCAAAAAACTGAAATATGTACTAAAAGAAATGGCTGATAAAAATAATTTATAATATAGTAGCAGAGATTTATGATATAATAGCAGAGCTGTTCTATTAATAAAATACCTAATAATATAACAATGATTTGACATATATCAAAATGAAGACGTGAAGGTGGATAGTGTTGTTAACTGGACTTATTTCACTATTTTTTAAAAAATGTATTAATCGACCGTAAAATATACACAGGCTTTGTAACTTTTCACCAGTCGTTTTTATAGTTCATAAACTGCAAATCATGGAATGATGTTAGTATTGTCTTCGATTTATGAATTCATATAATGTATCATATCAGTGATTGGACATGAGAAATCATTGCTCGCAATTCGTTATTCCAGTTCTAGTACTACATTATCGGGGTTTGTTACAAACGCCTAAACTCAAATAGATCGTAGGCGAATACCGACGAATAAGCAATGGTCCGGGGACTGGATCTTGCTTAAAATCTGGAAAGCTAGTGTGCTTATCGTCTGCGATATCACATCAATGTAGACCTGAATGACTAATAAAATTATTACAAATATATTAAAGTTGGTCAGAAGAGAATAGGCATTTACTGTGTATAGTTCGACATTTAGATAAATTCTAAATGCCAAACGACACACAATAATTGCCTGAAATATTATATCTATTGCCAGCCCCCCCACCCCATCACCCCCACTGCTAAAGACCCGTACGAGCGGGCGAATTATTGAAATAAAATTGAACCTTGTGTTAGTCCAGAAATGACCTATTTGTGTCGAGTTGACGTTAAACCCTATCTCTCTTCTTCTCTTTATATCATTGGTTGGAAATTGCAAAAGATTTTGCATCCACTAAAGGATATAGCATGATCAGTGAAGTGCCAGAGAGGTAGAATTAATTATATATGTGAATTGTCAGATGAATCAAGGATAGAATACAGTAAATGCACCACATAACCGATTTACCACCAGACTAAAGTAAGGTAATTAAACATGTGATGGTAAAAGTGATATTAGGCCAACCAGACTTCAGACGGTTAATAAAACATACACAGGTAACAGTGGTATTTAGTTGAGAGGGTGTAAGATTATTTCGTTGGGGTTGATCAAGAATAACTGCCATTTGTTCGTTAAAGGTAGAGCTATTACGATGGAATTATTTGAGCAAAAAGATTCCATTATGCTATTTGAATATGCATGTCATAAATGCACATGACTAAGAAACTGCTGCAACTGGTATTGTAATCAAAATGCGTATGTACAAACATAAATATCTGTCAGAGTACCTGCTTTATCAACAGATAAGCAGGCAATTAAACTAGATTTCTTTTAATTTGGTGCAGCATATTAACATCAGATTGAGACAGGATAGGTTAAAGCTGTTATCACAGTGCTCCTACTCCTTCCAAGACTGGGGGTTGGGTGGCCGAATGGTTAGCACGTGCGCGCTGTATCATAAGGTCTGCCATTGAGTCAACCGGCGTGGTTTCGAATCCCCAATTGTAGCCTACGTTGCAAGGAGTAGGTCGCCTGTCCAACCTCATGGGTTTCCTCCGGTTTCCTCCCACTGCTAAAGACCCCTACGCGCAAGCGAATTATTGAAATAAAATTGAACCATGTGTTCATGTTCATGGCATAATCAGTTATTCTCCTTGAACAGGTTGTAAAACGTGTGGATATTCAAGAGTCAAAATACAATTTAATAAATCATTCAAATGTGTGTTTTTTCTTGAAAGAATATCGTCTCAATGGAGGTGTTTTCTTTGCTTTAAAGTGACATTCGCGTGCTTTAAAAGGGCGCTTTCCTACAAACGAGATATGAATCCTCCGTCCATACCACATCCCAGCAAGAAATAAGGGCCAAGTGCCAAATCACTTCTAGATATTATCCGCCGTCACTTCTATACCATTTTATCATTTTTTAGAATATAATGCTCCGCCCACACCACATCCCAGCAAGAAATAGGGGCCAAGCCCCCCCCCCCTGCACTTATAGATGCTCTGTAGTCACTTATTTCAAATTGTTATCATTATAGAACATGTCCATGAATTTATAATATATATATATATATATATATATATATATATATATATATATATATATATTATTGTTCTATTATCATTAAGGTAGCGATTTTGCTGTGCAGTAAATACTATCTAAAGTTATATCATTGCACGTAGTTAGTTAGAACTGAAAATAATTTGTTTACGGTGGAGTATTGTACACGGTGAATACAAATATGAGTGAAAGAAACATGCCTCCTTTGTCTACAAATACGGTAGACTTAAGAAGTGATACGGCTACAAGACCAACGCAGGAAATGTATGATGCAATGATAAGTTCGCCCATAGGAGTTGACGTTTTTAAAGAAGATCCGACCGTTATAAGTGAGTTTATAAATTTTTAATGCTCAGAGTCCTCGACAGATTTATTAAAAAGAGTTCATACTTTCGTTTCTTTTCTATGTGGTTGATACTAACACTATACCGATAGGTCTAAGAACAACTAAAGCTAAATTTTGAAGAGAACCAAAAGTTAGTAAGGAAGTAGTTAGATCCACACGTTATGTAAGCCAACCAACCAACACATATGTTATTCGGGACCAAATCTTTTTCTTCCATTTGGCAAGATATAAAAATAACGAAAATGTCTTTAAAGACCCAGCAAGCGATTTTGAACGTATTCCCGTTATATCGGGGTGAGGGGGGGGGGGGAAATGGTTAACACGCACGTGTTGCATCATAAGGATAAGGTCTGTCATTAAGTAAAGTAGCGTTGTTTCGATTTCCCGCTAGTACGTTTCGAAGTTTTGAAGCACGCACATACTTTGGTATAGTTATGTATGGAACTCCCAACAGGCTCAAAATCAAGTTAAACTGAAATATTAACTGTTACGTTGACTTAAAGATCAGTATAATTAAACCTGGTCGTCTGATATTCAGACATCGAATAAATCACTTAATTATAGAATTTATAAGACGGAACTTCAATTAGAAGGGTATATTATTTCATCGCCAAACTATATTAAATATACTTTTATAAGATATTGAACATGTAACCATAATAAACTCCCAATTGATTTCGGGAGATGGTTGAATGTAGATTTTGAACACGTAATTTGGCCTTTCTGTGATTTAAATACAGTTGGCGATGCATATTTCATTACAGAACGCGAAAAATATATGTCTAGATATTACTATATAAGACCTAATACTATTAAATAATATGAACTTTTTAATCCAAACAAGCAACCAATCAAATTATGTATGTTCTTAAAGATAATACTGAACACATTCTTTTTAGCTTGGCTAAATAACCGCCCACTCATATGTCATGTATATGATCTGAGTTTTAAAGAGAGTTCTGTTCTTTTTCTTCTTCTTCTTCTTCTTCTGCTGTAGGACAATATTATATATATTAGATTATCTTATACACACATGAAGTGCTCACATTCGTAAATGCATCTACAGGATAAACGTTTTTATGATTTTAGAATTACAAGAAAAATGCGCTAAATTATTTGGTAAAGATGCTGCGTTGTTTGTTGCTTCTGGAACGATGGGTAACCTTATTTCAGGTAAGTGCATGTTAGTTAATCTGGTCTTGGGAAGGAAATGTATACACTTAGGCTGTGATTTAGCCCCGAAAATCGTTTCATCTCGTCCCAGCAAATTCCGGGTGAAAATCTGACGCTTTGTTACACGATTTAACCAGTAGGCCGTCACTGTCGCATACTTTTCTGTTCCGATGCATTGCACAATACGTCTTGCACCCGAATTACGTCTCGAACTATATTTGTCAAGTGTAGCCATAATCGGGTGAAAAAATCAAATTCTAAGCCAATCAGAAACCATAAAAGCAAAGATCGTCATAGGTCAAGGGTCAATTGCCATAAATAGACCAGTGAATACCTTTTATGAGACGGAACACGTTGGATTGTTTACATTTGTCTGAGAGAATTTCTCTGCAAATATGCCGGGATTACTGGATAATATCACCTGTTAAATGTTGCATTGACACGGTAAAGACGACTTACCCCTGATCTGTGGCATAAATATGGCCAATAATTAGGAAATAGCACCAATGATTGATAGAGCCCGATGGCTTCGTACAGCTTTGGGAGGTGGAATGAGTCAAATAGGTGTTTTAGCTGGACCCGCCATAGTTGGATTAGATACGATATATCCTAAATTATATCTAGATCACCAGAGAACCAAACAAATAGCAACAGGTTAGTCGATATTTATCTGAGTCTCCCGTGTATAAAACAACTATATTTAAGGTTTTACTATGTGTGTTTAAAGTCTTTACAACGGTTATGGTCAAAACAAGGCCGCATCATCTATATTATTCTCTAAATTCTTTGGAGGGCCCTATTTCATTTAACTTCAATCTCGAATGAACCCAAGCCCGGAGATTAATTGCTTTCTTAATTAAAAGCTGAAGGATCAATTTTCGAAAATTTCACCGTGGATAAAGTCATGAGTAGTTAGATATAGTCCAAAAATTGCAAAAGACAATCAGCGACAATAAAGAACGTTGTTTTACAGCTATATATCAAAACAGTCATGGTGTGGTGCAGATTGATCTAGATGGAGTCCAAACGAACATTTTGTTGATTCATGTGAAGAAAACAAGTTTTGATGCCAATATGTTCTGTGATCGTTTATCCAAAGTATGTTAAACCTTTATATATCAGCTCTGCTATTATAATCCTAATATGTTATTCTCAAATTGTTTGGCAAATAATTCAATAATGTGCACTAATATATTGATGATGGATCCTTCCACAACTGGGAAATAGATGTTAAACTTTAAAGTTGGTTGCTAGAGACACCATGTAGGTGAGCTCAAGGCTCGTGGAACTCCGGCTATAGACTCTAACCTCCATATATATCATCGCTCTTGTGAATTTTGTATTAGTGATGGAATACTGTTATATAAACACGTCGTATTTAGAACACCACAGTTTTCCCCTAGTTTTTTTTATTATTAAACAAAACACAACGTGAAGTCGTGGAGTTAAGCTGTAGCACAGGATCACCAGGATCTATAGTGCTACAACTGTTACATTAATGAATCGCGATTAAATATCTATTAAATGTAACAATTGGCAAACAGATTGGCGTTAGTTGAGTATAATGTCATTACTATTTGTTTAAACTGTTGAGTTGCATTAATAAATCCTGATTATACATCTCTTAAATTTAACAAAATGACTAACAACTGGTTGTAAGTAGACTATAATTTCCAGTTTTGTTTAATCTATTATCTTTTATTAGTCTAAACACGAGTGTAACTATAGACGTTTACACTGTATTTTTCATTTTATTTTATTACATTTAGCAGATGACAAAGAACAATTTGTAGTTTATGTATTTACAATATTGTGTTTGGATGTACGTATTAGTTTGGCTGTTTACAATGTATTACATCTAACAGATGTAGTTGGACCAGTCTCAGTTTAATTGTGTTTATATTGGATTACGAACAGCAGGTGGTGTGATTCGGATATAATTTTGATTACAGATAACACATACAGAGTTAATACGTTTGCATTTGTTTATATTTATTATATGTAACAGACGAAAATTTTATATGTTTACATTCATTTATGTGTAGTAGATGTAACATTTGTTTATATTTGTTACATGTAACAGATGAAGTGTTTATATATTTACATTTGTTTATATTTAAATCATATAACAGACGAGAGTATACATTTACATTTGTTATATTTAGTGCATGTAAAATATGAAGATAATATATATTTACACGTGTTTATATTGATTACATTTAACAGATGAAAAACGTCCTGTGTTAATTTAATAATTCACTTTTAAAAAACCCAACTTTATGTTAGATTGTTTATACATGTGTTTATATCTATTACACGTAACGACAGTTGTTTTATGCATGGTTTATATTTACAGGTAACAGACGACGAGAGGCAAATATTAGAAGAAGATATATGCATACTTAGTCTACCGTTTTCTAATAAAACAGCAAGATTGGTACTTCATCATAACATTGATCAAAATAAAGTTGATAAAACAATCAAAAAACTGAAATATGTACTTAAAGAAATGGCTGATAAAAATAATTTATAATATAGTAGCAGAACTGTTCTATATGTATCCACATATACAGGAATAGTTAATTTGATATACTGTATATATAAATATATCAAAATTAAGAAGTAAATGTGGTTGATTTTGTATATTTTTATTTGATCTATTTATTTGATTTTTATTTGATTTTTATTTGATTTTCATATACTGTGTTTCTAACTTTTCACCAGTTGTTTTGGTTTGGTCGTGTCTTACCTTGCAATTCATAGAACGATGTGGAAATGTTTTTGATTTATGAATTAGGATTCGTGCAATGGATCATATCAGCAGGCCTGTAGCTAGCCCAAAAATGTTGGGGGGGGGGCAAGGGCTTCTGGGGACGCCGATGTACCTACACTTGACGGTCCACGGCGGATGGCACTGTGGCCGAATGGTTAGCGCATGCGCGCTGCATCACAAGCTCTGTCACTGAGTCAACTGGCATGGTTTCGATTTCCCTGTTGTATGTGACAAGGAGTAGGATCGTCTGTCCAACCTCGTCCGTTTTCCCCCCACTGCTAAAGACCCCTACGCGCAAGCGAATTATTGAAATAAAGTTGAACCATATGTGTCGAGTGGACGTTAAACTGGATTCGCCCCCCTCCTCTCTGAACGATGAAAAATCTAAAGCTATGTCAGTTGGAATCTCTAATAAATTTATAAATTAACAGAAAATAAATCAGGCGCAATGATCGACGTCTCTGTCAGCCTCAAACCCCTTGGTGTTGTTTTTTTTGAGTGAACACTCACTATGGAAACACACACACCTTTGCGCACACTGACCACTAAAAATGAGAGGGAATTAATATTGAGTACAATTACAGTAAATTACATTTATGAACATGTACATGTATATATAATTATGTATATTATTATTTTTTTAATGAAATACTATTCAAAAGTCACACAACACCGTATATCAGTTTACATGTTTATGAGTTTCTTTTAAATTAAAACGAGGATAGATATTGTTATATTATTTTAAAAAATTAAGCCATATTCTTTGTTTAATGTAATATTTAAAGGACATACAACACCGTATCAGTTACACGTTTATGGTGTCATTTAAAATTATAATGAGAGTAGATATTGTTATATTATTTGAAAAAATATACTTTCTTTTTTAATGTAATAATATTTAAAATACATACAACACCGTATATCAGTTCACATGTTTATGATCTTTATTAAAATTAAAATTAAGAGTAGATATTGTTATATTATTTTTGAAAAATAGGAAATTAGAGCACAGATTTTTATATCATTTGAAGATATGAAATCATATTCATAATAAACGGGTACAACGATCCGTTTTGTTAACAAATAAAGGGCGATTTTGTTCATGCACTGATTTTCAGATCATTAGGAATAGTTAGTCAAATAAGGGGTTACATTTAGTCGGTAAGTTGTTCTAAAGAACAGGCTCAACATCTTGATTGCACTTAAAGCATATAACATTAACTGGTGTAATGATTCTTTTAGTGGATTTTTAGGTTCTTCCTCACTCGACTGGATGGTCCACATGAAGTTTATCCCCGGACGCAAGAAATGAGACTATAATTCGCATCAAACTGTCAATATGTACAACACCCCCTATACATTGACTGCGGAAACTGTTTTTAAAGATTAAAGATTAATCGGTATTAAAGTCGCATAACCCATGGATACAAAGATATAATATGTTTATATTTTGGTTGGCTCATCGCCTAAGGCGCTGGCACACTAACTAGGTGAAGGTTCCTCGGGATTTTCTGGTTGCTTTCCCATGTCAGTGGCGCAAGACGTAGGGCCTGATAAAGGAAAGAAAGTGTAAGGTCTTTCGGGTTGGACGGAAGACCGAGGTCCCGTGTACACATTGGTGTGCACGTAAACGAACCCTTGGAATTAGAAATAAGTAGGTTGTAACACCTCTGTCAGAGCAAAGTGTATCTTATAGCACACTGCATGGTGTAGGCCTCCGTCCTCTTTAACCCTGTTGCCCTACAATGTATTGTTACATAAAGAGAAGTTTGTTGGTATTGAATATAGTGTTACTGGTGACGCCGTTTATCGGTGGTGAGTATACAACCTTCAAATATTTTGGACGGGACATTTTCATAATGATCTATTTTCACCTCGTTATACATTATTAAAACTCAATGAAACCCAACTAGGTGACACTTTTAGCCGCCTCGCCACGATTGTTACATGTTCCCATTTCAGAGATGATCCTACTAAAAGTAAGGTATTTATGGCACGGTTTGGAGCGTATTGAAAAATGGGACTATGTGGAGGGGGTGGGGGATGGCTGAATGGTTAGTGCGTGCGCGTTGTATCATAAGGTCTGTCATTGAATCAACTGGCGTGGTTTCGATTCCTCGGCTGTACGTGACAAGGAGTAGGATCGCCTGTCCAGCCTCGTGGGTTTTATCCGGGTCCCCTGGTTTCCCCCAACTGCTAAAGACCGCTATGCGCAAGCGAATTATTGAAATAAAATTGAGTGGACGTGAAACCCCATTTCTATCTATCTCTGAGACTTTGTGTGTCATGTGTACAAACTCCATTTTATTTAAACTGTTTCATATTTTCATTTTTTACCTTAGAATTGTCCTGTCATATTTTCATTTTTTACCATAGAATTGTGACCTGTATACTCCATTTTATTTAATAGATTTAGATAATATATAAGCATAAAAATAGTGATTTTCTGCATTTTTCCTCTGTTGAAAACCTTCTGATTTGTTTGAGAGAATTGATTAGTCTGGTTAGTAGAATGTTTGTCTGAAGGATACAGATTAATAAGTAATATAATATGTGGTAAATTTACGCGATCGTGAAGAAAATCGTTTTTGTTGTTATCTTTGTTGTTACAATTACCATATATGAAAACGCACCCATTGTGCTTCAGTATATCAATATTTCATAATAAAGAAAAAAAAAATATCACTTATGCTCAAAACTGAATTTTTTAATCTGCGAAAATAACTAATAAAAGGCCCATTCTTGGCTAAGAGTGGTGAAATAACCATGAGCATATTAATTTAATAGCTTCAAATGTATTTATTTTTCATATAGAGGATTATTTAGTCAGTGAAATTAACTTCTGCCTCTAAAGATCCAGTCATATCAATTTTCTGTACTCCATTTTGGCATTATTTGGGAGTTGACCTTTTTATAGTGGGTTTACGATTCAAAGATTTATATTTTACCCAGACAATAGCAAACATTATTACAGCAACAAAAACACCCACTCCAATGATACTACCATTAAGTAACCACTGATCATCCCCTGACTCTGAAATAAAAACTATAATGAAACAAACAAAGAATTTTTTTTTTAAAATAAAGGTTGATAATCACAGAAGAGGGCTTACCATGATTCATATACACCCGCCGGCAGTAGAGAAACAACAAGCAGACTTTTAAAAGATAGCGTGGAAATGGGCTGACACGACATCCAAGTTTCGACAGAAACGTATCCTAATAGGAAAAATTGAATGTCATTGAAATTTGATAAAAAGATTGAAAAACGGTCTTTAAAAACAGGCTCTATCAGGCTCACAGGGATTTCAGAAAAGGGGACATAACTGTGGTACGAGGGGTCACAGAACCTTGAAAATCTATAGAGTTCGTCCTCTCGTAAAATTTGAAAAAGGAGATCTGTTAAAAACTGTAGCTTATGTCGCGTTCAGAAATGAGGCGTATAACTCTGGTACGGAAAATTACGGCACACTGATTATTGATAGGGTTCGGCAATGATTCACACCAAATTCATATTTATTTATTTTTTTTTGGGGGGGGGGGGTAAAAACTGTAGCCTCTAATGTGCACATGATTTTCATCAAAGGAAGGGTATATATCCGAAACGGAAAGTCACACACAAGGCTATTTGCAAAGAGTTATAGCTGCGGAAACCATGGTCTTAGAACTTCGAATTTTATCTAATGGTTTGGATTGTTCGTACTTGGTTTTATTTTATTTATCTCATGATCTCAATGCTCCTCACCAAATTTGAATGACATCCATTAAAAGCTGTATCCTCTATTCCGTTCGGAAAGGGAGGAATAGCTCTGGCACAGTCGATCGCGGAACGCTGATAAATATCGCCAAGGCTCATCCTTCCATTACCAGAATGTATGACACGAAACTTTAAAAAGAGCAGTCGAAACCTATAGCCTTTATTGCGTTCACGAACCAATTGTTGACGGATGGACAGATGGACCGGACGACCGATAAGCCCAAACTATGTATCACACTTTGTAACATACCACATTAAAGATACATTACCGCGTACAAACTGGGTGATTTAATGGTATATATGAACTAAAAACATATTCAAACTAATTAATTTGTCAAACATTGTAATTGCGAAGGAATGCCCTGCTATAAAAATTCGATCAAACCAGGTCATGTTTACGTCACGTGACTTACCTCTCTTGGAAGTCAGAGGAGAATTCATTGCATACATAACACGATGTTGTATTTAATCGCTTACTATTTATTACAAATATCGAATCCTAATTAAATTCTCGGATTATCCACTACCCGCGTCTTTTTCCGTCATTTTTATCTCAGAAAGTGTTGTACGTCTAACTCTTCATAAAGTTTATCAACTTGTACATCAAGCGCTCAATGTTCGCGTGTGACCTTTGACATCACGCGTGCAGAAATTCCTAATCGTCGGGCTGTCGATTAGGGGAACCCTTACATTTTTGTCCTGTATACGCTCCACGAGTGTTTTTCGGGGAATCCAGTATCTTTCTAGTAAGATTGGATATCTCTACTTTCCATATATACCAAAATTGCCATACTTTTATTGGAAATAACCACCCGATAAATACTTTTCTGGGAACCCATCTTTACGTTGACAGTAATTCCGAAAAATACCATCGAATTAATCGGTTTCCTTTATGAACAATTTCATATTGCAAATTTGACTCTTTATGGTGTTCTTAAAATAGACAAAAGCCGCTGTGATTTATGCCATAACATTTCAACAATTATTGACGCGGACAGTTGGTAAGTATTATAATGTTACACAATGCAAAAACGAACGCCAGCAACTGCCAGCTACCATATTATGTTAGTTCCGAAATGACTCGCCCCCTCTCCCTCACTCTCTCCCCATATGTTAGTTCCGAAATGACACGCCCCTCTCCCTCTCCCTCTCTCTCTCTCTCTCTCTCTCATTATTTTGCCTCCAAAAACTCACCATGTTGTTTTTTATTTGATGTCGGTACAACGCAGAATCCGACAACTGCACCATAACAAACGACGTGATTACAATTGTAAAGAGTCTTTCTCTTTAGGGTTATCAAATC